TACCAAAGTACAGCTTCAAAAGTGCCTTTGTGGGGAAGGCTCTTCTGTGTCATGCATTTGTCGGTCTCTGGGTGCTCATAGTGACAAGGGTGTCTATCATGTTCCTGGACATAGGACCTGTTGGTCAATTGAATATTTCTTTGTATCATTATGTTTTTTTTTCTGATTCAGGGTTTGCTTCTTGAATCCAATGCTGGTCCAGTTACATCCTAGTGATAGTGGAAAGAATCAATAACTGTGTTAACAAGGGCAAATAACCTAAACATTATAAGTTATAATTTTGTTTGTTACACTACTAATTATGATGCCCGTATCATGGTCATTTTGTACCAACAGGAGCCAATCAATCTCTTTCTCATCCTCTGTCTCTCTCTTTCAATTGCTGGGTTTTTTTTTTCCCCTTTCTCTTGGTAATAATTATACACAATCCTCTCATCTCTCTATGGGAAGTATTTTATACATTCATTAATTGAAGTCAGAAGAAAATATTATTTTCCAAACCTCCTGAAGCTAGGGTTAGTCTTAAGGTGTATAGCATCCTGTCAAGAAACAAGTTGGGCAACCCTTGTAAGTATGTCAGTACCATTCTAGGGACCCAATTTCAGTCCTACAATAGGAATACCTTATCAGTAGCAATCTGCCTACCATTATCCCCTTCCCCCAACTCCAATGGGGCTGGCTATTGAGCCCTAGGATGACCCTACTAGTAGTGCAAGTCTCCGGGCTCCTCGGGGCCTTTGTTCAACTTTCTGGGAAGTGTAGACCAAAGAGTGTCCTCAGGAAAGAAAATTTTGACTCTGTCCACCCATCCCAAACACCAGAGCTGGACTCAGAACATTTTAAGAGAGGCACTCCAGATTGTGGGAACCCCTGTTTTGTGGTTCTTAGAACAGAACTCTGCTAAAGCTTTACAGAGATACTGTCCTGTCTGAATCTATGGTAATCTTTAAACATTTAAATTCCAGAAATTCATTCCCAACAGGGATCCAAAAACTCCCTGTCCTGGAATTATGGATTTTCAAACTGAATTCTGTCTACTCTGTTGATTGTCCACTCAATATAAATTACACTGAAGGTGGCTAGGAAATTATTCAAATGTCTTAAAAATTCCTGAAATTCTAGAAAGAAAAAGTAAATTGGACGGCTCTCTCTATTGTACAAGTTTTTCCAACTCAGAAAAGATATGAGTTAAACTATAGAAGTTCTTGAATTTGTCACCTCAGATTCTCCATGACTTTATTGTCAACAAGAGGTTTTATGGGGACATTTCTACAGGTACATAAAACATCAGACTATTTACAACATAAACATCTGTGCTGGTACCATCTGTTCATTGATTGGTTATCACTCACAAGATAACTTGCTCTTTTTTTTCTTTCTCTCTCTCAATCATTTACATTTCCAAAATTATAGTGCAAAAATTAAAATAAAGAAAAATAACAACATGGCATTATTAGTTATTTTCCTCCACTATTCTCTTATATCTCTGAGTTCACATTTCTTCTCCCTTGTCAACTTGAGAATGCTTTCTTCTTCTTCTCAGTAAAATAAGCCAGCCAATATATGAATTTATTGGGTTGTAAGAAAGCCATGATGCATTTTTTGTGTAGAAAAACAAAAAAAAATACTTCATGACTTTCCTGATGACTTAATATTTTATTTATAACACTTCTAGGATATTAGCAGCCTCCCCAAATGTCAGTTATCTATATTAGTGAATTGAAATAGTTCCATCTTAACCTTCATCCGGTTAAAAAAATTCACAGAGATTATAATTTCTATATGTAGTAGCGTTGATTTTGGCTTCCTGAGGTTTTGACTTTGACTTCAAAATTCTGCGTGGTAAAGTATATGCCATACCTATTATTTGTACTAGGATATATGAATTAGCACATTGTTGACTGTCTGGAAATGAAGTCACACGATTTAGATCTAGTATTTTGGAACTTTGACTGCAATCTGTTTTATTTTAAGGAATTTTTTTTTTGGGGGGGGGAGGTTTTTGCTATAGAGGGTGTGCGCTTACCAGACAGACAGAGAGAGACAGAGAGACAGAAAGCGAGAAATCACCCCCCCCCACTTCAGGGGGGGATGCCACGCTGCAATCCCTTCTCCTCCATTCTCCTCTCGGGATCTTGGGCACGCATGCACATGCACCCAGCGTGAGTTTAAGCCACCGGTTCCGGGACTCGAACCACGGTCGACTATGTGGTAGTCCAGCGACATAGCCATTATGCTAACTGCTGGCCCCTATTTTAAGGAATGTTTTCAAGTTAGAGAACACTGTCAATGTCCAAGTCCCCTGAGACATGACCTTCAGGAATAACACCTGACAAACATTGTCAAGAAGATATGCAGTATCTAGAATTGGTATTTCCCTTAGTGCCCAGGAGCTGGAGCCATGCCCTGGGCCTTACATTTAAGAGAAGCAAGCTGTTGAAGAAAAATTGTATTATTTGGAGTTAAATAATCAAGGAAGACTCTATTCAAGACTATTGCAATAGAAGCTAGAGAATGAACTCAACTCCACTGAAACACAAAATAGGAGAGTTTTAAGTACTGTGGTAAGCTAGCGAAAAAGTATTGTAGGATGTTTTGGAGGAAGTAGATCAATATACTCAAGTCATCTGTGTTTGCTAATTAGTGCTTATGGAAGGCTCCTGTTCTCCCATAGAGACTGGGAGATAAGGGCACTAAGTTCCTTAATGATTACATTTTAAGGAGATGGATTTCAGTTCCTTAAGAAAGATATTTTTGGGTTATAAAGCTGGATATTGTTTTTTCTTTTTTTTTGTTGTTGATGCATAGTAATTGTACACACTTCTAGGGATGCAATGTGAATTTTCAGCACAATAGCACACTATGTTATGATTAAATCAGAGTAAATTGGTATATTCATTATCTCAACCATTTGTCATTACTTTGTGTGAGAACATCAAAATCTTTTTTAGTTATATACAGTAAATTATTAACTATCTGATATATCCTCCCTACTGTATTTTATAACACTAGAAATTATTTCTCTGTTTTACCTTTAATTTTGTCTATTAATCAACATCTCCCATTTCTCTCTCTTCACATCCTTCTCAGCCTCTTATAGTCATTCTTTAACACTTTCCTTCTACAAGGGTTTACTTTTGGGGGGCAGGGCACAACTGTAAGGTTTCTAAAGTAAATGCTATAAGCAAAGACAGGTCAAGAGCTTATAGACAGAAAAGAACCTATCTAAAGTATAGTCAGGCTGAGTGGAACATTAAAACTTGGTCACCATTCTTTCTCTCCACTGGCTGTGTCCTTCCAAAAAGTCAAGGAATTCATGGAGCAGAGGGAATGTGACCACTCAGTAAGAAGTATTTCACAGTATTACCCCAGAACTATTCATGGTTGAACTTTAGATATGGCAGATTCCACTAGGTAAATTTGTTAAAACATCAACCTGATCATACAAAATTAGACTGTTTTTATTTTATCTTTGTAAGGATTTTTTAAAAATTATTTATTATTGTACATAATCATTACATCATCTGCTAGTCCTTTCTGATTTTTTCAGTATTTTTTAGAACCATTGTTTCCTTTCACAGTCAACATTAAACAAAGATAACTGGTATTCTGACATCACTATAGAGAGATTGTGCCTGTTCTTTAACTTTGCATGTGTGGAACCACAGTGTATGTGCTCATTTGTTTTTTTTTCATCAATTTTTATTGTGTGTTGCATTAGTTAACATTTTATCTTAGCTGTGTGGTATTCCACGTGTGACTAAAGCACAACTTTTTTATTCATTCTATCGTTAGAATTGTATCCAGTTTTGAGCTACTATGAATAAAGCCTTTCTAAATACTTTAGTTCATAAAGTATGAAATAAAGTGGATGTCCATTTGTTTAGGAGGTATTGCCAGGAGTGAAATTCCAAGGTCATAGATTAGAAGTATTTTCAGATTGGTACATACTGACAAACCAATTGCTTGTATCAATTTATTCTTTCACCAGCTATATATGAGTTCTAATCACTTAACATCTTTGTCAGCACTTGCTATTGTCTGTCAGTTTAATCTTATTTATTTGGGTGAGTAGTTTAATAGCATATTATTATAATTTTATTCACATTTCTCTGAGAATAATGATAAGGAGCATGTTTATTTTTCCACATTTTTAGGTGTCTGTTCAAGTTTCTTATCATTTTTTTTCCCTCAGAGATTGTCTTTTCTTTGGTTTGTAGGCCTTTAAATATTCTGTATATGCATTCCTTTTTTGGGTGTATGTGTTGCAATCTTTTATCCCAAGATGAGACTTACCTTTTCATTCTTTAATGGTATTTTTTAAAAGTTTATATATTGTCGGGACCAGCAGTTAGCATAATGGCTATGTCGCTGGACTCCCATGTAGTCGACCGCGGTTCGCGTCGGGGACCCAGTGGCTTAACGCTGGGCGCGTGTGCGTGCGTGCCCAAGATCCCAAGAGGAGAATGGAGGAGATGGGATTGTGGCGTGGCCATCCCCCCTAGGGGGGTGATTTCTCGCTTTCTGTCTCTCTGTCTCTCTCTGTCTTTCTGGCGAGTGCACACGCCCTATAGCGAAAACCTCTCCAAAAGAAAAGTTTATATATTGTAATTATGCATATTTATGGGGACATAATGTAATTTTACCATACAATGTTGATGTGGAGACACCCAGAACTTATGAGTAACTTTGAGCTAACCCAGGACTGATAGCTGCCTGGACTTTCTCTTTCCCCATAAGGTAGCTGCCCCTCCCCTGAACTGTACAGTGGCTGGAGGCCTTGAGCAGGCTGACAGCTCTATATGAGGGCAGACACTGAGCCTTTTCCCTGATAAGACACTCCAAACATGCTGAAATCGCCCCTCCCCAAATTCACCCATAAAAGACTGTGCTCAGCTCTCAGCTGGGGCTGGAGCTTCAGAGTGTTATCTCCTTCATGCCTGCTGGTGTAATAAAAGAGTTCTCTTTCCTCACCGAAGTGCCTTGTTTTCGTTCTTCAGCATCTGTTTTTCCACAGCATTTGGTGTGTTGGCTGGAAAGCAAAATCAGGCTAGCCTTTTGAGCCACCTATCTCAAGTCATTTTCCCCCTGGGATGGGCATTGCGGTATGGAGAGATAGGCACGCACTCATCTCGTTTGACGGGATCCCTCAGCTGTGATGCCTGCCCCAAGGTCTAGTGTTCCTGGAACATCAGGCTCCAGTTTGAGAGAAAGACCAACTCCCAGACCATGATGCATCAACCGTGGTCAACTCTGGTAATCTGGTAAGCCCCCCTGGGATCTGTAGAGCCCTGTCAGTCAGACCCACTCAGAATGGAAGAGACCTGTATACTCTTTGGTTGCAGGACCAACAGTCAGGGTTTATCTGGTAATTGGTTGGTGTGGGGAGGGAATGTATAACCTCTGAGTGAATGTGAGTGTTTGTGATGAGTGAATGTGTTTGTGGCCCCACAGTGCATCACACTATGGGGCATGATTGGGTCTGTTTAAATCTGTGTTTCCGTGGAGGCTCCAGAAGGGCTAAAAGGCAGAATTACATGCTTAGGGACCCCTTCCCTCTCCATGCATGTCATCCAGTGGAGGATATATATATCCAATTGCTTATTGCCAAGGAGCCAAATGAAGCCTGCGAGGGATGCAACCAGACAGATGCCTGATTGGTCCCCCTCTCTGGGCACCTGCGCTTTGTCTGTTTGTAGCATCGTTCATGGGAGGGAGGACACAGGGGCTGTTGGGAGAGTTGTCCCTATAGAGTTGGATAGGCAGAGTAGATGTCAGGTCACAAGTTCTGTCTCCAGAAGCTGGGACATGAATTCCTCTCAACTGTGACAAAAGATGTCCTCCCAGAGCCCATCTTGACTCTCTTACAAAGGCTACCACCATGGAATGAAACCTGCCCACTCTGACTGGGAGCAGAGAGGACAGGCCTCACTCTCTACCTAAACCACCTTCCCTCATCGATTAGTTCGATAGACTTCCATTCCCTTATCCTCCCCACCACATGGTTATGTACAATGTGGTTACTGGCACCCCAGGCCATCCAAACCAGTTCTCCTATGCTGACTCCTGGCTACAATTATCCCAAGCCATTCCACCTTGGGCACAAATTTGCATAAGAGGGAAGAATTAGTGTATTATTTTTGCCACTCGTGTCATGCTGCCCATGCCTGCCTCTGACCAAAAGAAACTTGCAGCTCTGGCTCCCATCTTGTAAGGCACTCCCAAAGAGGAGCCATTAGCAGCTCCATCTCCGTATTTCTCTGTCCCAGCTGAGCCAGTGATTGAAACTCTGCCTCCATCTGTGTCTCCAGATCCTGAAGAGCAGCCTTGGGGACCAGCCACAGCTCTGACTTCTCAGGGGAAAGGTCACCAGCCTCACCCATTGTCACCTGATGAGCAGCTTCAGTCTGGGACAACCTTACTCTTCGGATGCTCCTCTGAGAGACCCAAGGGCCTCCGCAGATAGGTACAGATGGGCTATTACGGAATGCAGAGCAACCTTCTATTATGAGCCCTTTACCACCACTGATTTGCTTAATTGGAAACACCACACACACATTCTCCTTACTTGGAACAGCCCCAGGCAATGATAAGTTCATGGAGTCTATACTAAACCCATCAGCCCACTTGGGACAACTGCCAACAACTGCTCCTCACCATTCTTAATATAGAGGAGTGCAACAGAGTCCTTGTAACAGCAAAGACATGGCTACAAGAGCACGACCCCAACGATGAGGTAGATTCTGAGGCTTGGGCCACAACTGCCTTTCTGAATGAAAAGCCTAACTGGGATTTCCATCCTGAGAACAGCCACGCCCATCTCAGCAAGTATCGAGAGGCACTCCTGCAAGGGATGAAAGACGGTGCAAAGAACCTACAAATATGGCAAAAACTACAGAAATAATTCAAAAGATAGACAAGCTGCCAGGGCAGTTTTATGAGAGGCTCTGTGAAGCATACTGGATCTATATTCCATTTGATTCAGAGAACTCTGAAAGCCAACGGATGATTAATGCTGCATTTGTTGCCCAATTGGCCCCTTACATCTGTAGAAAACTCTAAAAGCAGGAAGGCTTTCTGCCACTCAACTCCTGGAGATCCTTAATTGAGTCTTCATGAATCTAGACTGTGAGGAGAAAAAGGAAGTGGGCTGGTGGATGAAGCAGAAAGCAGCCCTGTTGGATGCCACCCTCAGACAACTGGATGCCCCACCTGGTCCAAGAGGGGAGTCAGAAGTCAGCTGCCCTAGGCTTAGGCCAACCCAATGCACTTACTGCAAGTAAGATGGGCACTAGAAGGATGAATGCCCCAAGCAGAAGGCAAAACAAGGAAGGTTTTTACCTGAAGCCCACCAGGAGCCCCCGAGACTTTCCCGCAGTCTGGGCTGAGAGGAGCCCGCCAAGGATGGTGGTCAACCACCCACCTATAGTGGTCAAACTAGCACCTCAGGTGCAGCCTGTGCACCTTTGCTGGTACCCAATAAGCTCTCGTGGGGCCCCTAACAGTTATTATTTTGGCCCTGGATGTCGGACCATGTGTTCTTAATCTGATTACACAGTTTATAACCTCCCATCTTGAGGCTATAAAGTATCAGATGCTTGTCACAACCTGGGAAGTTACGTTTACTGCCCCTCTGTTGATTGATGATCATTGAATGTGATTGAGGATGCTCAAGAGGGGAGAATGATGTGGAGAAGCCCTGAACTTATGAGTAACCTTAAAGCAACCCAAGGCTGATGGCTGCCTGAACTTTCTGTTCCCTACCGTGTGGGAATAAAAGAGTTCTTTTTTCTCTCCAGAGTGCCATGTTTTTGTTCTTCAGCATCTGTTTTTCTGCAATAAGATCACAATGTGTATTGATTAAATCAGGATAATAAACATACTTGTCATCTCAGCCGTTTGTCATTACTTTGTGTTGGGAGCATTAAAATTCTCTTTTTTAGTTACTCTGTGATATACAGTAAATTGTTACCTGTGTTCTCTCTACTGTATTTTATAACACTAGAAGTTGTTCCTATTATCTGTCTGTAATCTTATTTCTATTAATCAGCATCCTTCTGTCTCCCCCATCCTTCCCCTTTAGTAATAATTCTTCACCTCTCCACATCTATGAGTTCATTTTTTTCAATTTCCACATTTGAGGATGAATGTCTGATACTGCTCTTTCTGTGCCTGTCTTATTTCACTTAATGCAATGTCCTCCAGGCTTGCCAGTTTAACATACAATGACAGGAATTTATCCTTTCTAATAGCTGAATATTATTCCAGTGTGTGTGTGTGCATGTGTGTATACACACATTTTCTTCATCCATTTATCTGTTAATGAACACCTAAGTTGATTTTATGTCTTGGCTATTATGAATAGTCCTACAATAAATATTGGAATATAAATACATTTATGACATACTGATTCTTTTTTATTTGTATATATAACCAATAGTGGGATTGCTGAATCATAAGGTAGTTCTATTTTTTATTTTTCGAGGAACCTCCACACTGTTTTCTATAATGGCTACATTAATTTATATTCCCACTAACAGTGTAAAAGTATCCCCCTTTCTCAACATCTTCACCAGCATTTCTTATTTTCTGTCTTTTGATAATAGTGGTATTTTTTGATAAGCAGAAGTTCTTCTCTTTTTTAAAAAAAAGAGATTTTTGCTGTAGGGTGTGTGTACTTGACAGAGAGAGACAGAGAGACAGAAAGTGCGAAATCACCCCTCTGGGGGGGAATGCCATACCACAATCCCTTCTCCTCCATTATTCTCTCAGAATTTTGGGCACACAAGCACACATGCCCAGTGTGAGTTTTAAGTCTCTGAGTCCAGCACTCAAACTGCAGTTGACTATGTGGAAGTCCAGTGACGTAACCATTACACCATCTGCTGGTCCCAATTGAAGTTCATAATTTTCATGAAATGCAGTTTTTTAATGTTTCCCTGTATGCTTTGTATACTTTGTGTGTGTGTGTGGTTTCTGTTTAAGAAATTTTTACCTATGTATAGCCATAATGATATTCTCCTGTGTTTTTCAGAAAGTTTTATCTAAAGGAAAAAAAAAAAAACCCAAAAGCAAAAATCCTTTCACTTTAGACCTATGTTCCATCTTGAATTAAGAAAGGAAGTTCTGTTGCTGCACTGGATAGAACAGCTAGTGCAGTGTGAAATATCAAAAGGAATAGTAGACACCTTTGTCTTATTCAAAGTCAGATCAATTAAAATTAAAAATAATTTTTAAAAAGTTAAAGTAGCGACAATTGGTCTAAAATTCTGGCCAGAACACTAAATGAAGTTCAGTCAAATTCAATTTTATATTGTGAAATGTTTAAGTACAAAGACCGGATCTGAGGCTCAGTACTTTCAAAGGACATGCCTAAAGCATATAAACCTCCAGATTTCCTACATACTGACTCATAGAGTCCCAGATTCCTCTATGTCTTAATTCTTCTAATCACTTTTTTTCCTTTTTTTGAGTCAGTTGTAGGAAGAGGAGAGATAACTATTAAATTCATAATATTAGGTGGATCTCTCTTGGTACCTGACCACAGACAGTGCTTTACCAGTCATCTTATATGCAGAGATGTGAAATGGAGCCTCAATAACAAGAAGTCACAATGCACGTGGACTAAAAAGGGTATATAACTAAAGTTTCTGAATGTGGTGTTAAGAGTTAAAGAATCAGCATGTATTAACCTCTTGCCATAAATGGCCAGAATTTTTACAGATGTGCATGTCAGTTAAGTTAGAAACTAATTTAAATGAACCTTTTCACATTTAGTCCTCATTAGGAAGGAGTTCTAGAATTGAATCCAGTATTGATTTAGGGCAGTGGGCAGAGAAGAGAGTGGCTTGTGTCTGCTATAGCTTTAGTAGAGGCAGCAGCTTAGTGGAACCTCAGAGTTTTGAAGAGACTCTTAACAATTGATACATGCATTAGGTCATTTGGTAGATACACGTTTTGTACAAAATGAATTGTGTTCAGAATTCTGTCCTTAGTCAAGGAGCTTAAGGCTTGAGGTTGTGAAGCACATCTATAACTGCACTTAAAAAAGAAAATGATGAATTTCTGTTATTTACATACAGTTATCCCTCAGACTGAGATCCTTAAAGGCAAGAGCACAAATTATCCTAGTTCTAAGATAATTCCTAATAAAGAAGTAACCTCTGTTTTCTAATGCCCATTTAATTTTATTTCAACCATGCAAAATACATTTAGTAGTCCAATATATGCCAGGCACTATTCCAGTCACCAGGGATAAAGTTGCATACAAAAGACAGCGTCTCTGAGGTCACATAGCTTATCTTGGAGAAAGACATACTTGAACTGGTCTTGAAGGATGAAAAGGCTTTGAGCATGCAGCAGCTAAACAGGAGACTTCTATACAAAGACAACGATATGGACAAAGACAAAAAAGCTAGACATTTTGGAGCAGTATGAGGCACAATTAATAGTTCAGGCTGACTGGAAAACAGAATGAACAAAAAGGAATACAAAATGTTGGGACCATGTTGAATATACCTATGTTCTTGGCTTGGGGTCTGAACCATGTGAAAAATAAAACAATGGTAAAGGGGAAGTTAGATTAGCAGATACAGCTTAGTAGAGGAGTCAATGGGCCTGAATTGAACTCAGGATTAGGTAGATTTTTCTAACCTTGTTATATGTACATCTGGACCAAGACAGGCTACTGGGGAGAAAAAAAAAATCTATGCTCAACTTTCATTATAGAATGACTTATGAGTAAGCTCCCTTCTAAAAGGAATAAGGTATTGAATAGGGTAAAGATTCCCCTACTATTCCCGATCCCCCAACATATCAATCAGATAAACACCAGAAAAGCTGGTGTTTCTCATTAAGGTCCTTAGTTCTTTTTTCCCCTGTTTTATTTTAAACAATTGAACTTAATTATTAATCCTATGGTCAGAAGG